TGGGGTGCCCGCATTGGCCGATAGACGAGAGGCAGCTCAGAGCCACGTCGGGCAGTCAGCACTCGATATGCCTGCCATCAGGCAGCATAAATCCTAGATGGGAACCTCTCATTTGACAAGGCACGCATTGAAACAATTGACCACGTCCTTCCGTGCCCATCAACGTCCCTGTGGGAGCAGCACGCACCTCGTTGATATGCTCCTCAATACTGACGTACTCCAGACCTTTCTGCAAATAAGCGATCAAAGCCCCGGGAGGCACGTCTGCCGCGCGCAGGTTCGTCTTGTCTAGGCCGCCTTCGTTGAAGAAGGTGAAGGCTGGGGTGGGCATGATTGGAGATCAGGGTATGAGAAGCGTGCAATGTGCTCGCCTTTTTTTTTCCATGCTGAGATTATGCCCCACATGCCCCGACTTTATGACCATGGTCCACAACAGACAAGAGGTGAACATCTAGTACAGTCAATGTGAGCAAGAAGAATATGGATGAAACATGTGCCCCCGAAAGGCATTGGCATCAGCATACGTGCTGTTACCGCCAACACGCCTCTCCTCTTGGCGTCGTAGCCGTCCGCCCTGAAATACCTGAATGGCTGTACCCGCTTTCTACCAGGTACCGATGCACAAGGATGTTCACCTCGTCTGTGTTGAAAGACATGCTTGCCTGGGGCTCCACGGAGATGAAGCAGCGAAGGGAAAGGGAGGAAGGATGCACAGGAGAGGGCCACGAAGGCGGCTACCTCACGCCTAAAGGACAGGTCTTGTATGACAACACGCTTGATAACGGCCACACCCCACCTACGCCGGTGTACAGTCCTTTGACTGCAGCCACTGCGAACGGGTTTTCCTCGTATGCCAGTTGGCAGGCTTTGTACCTGTGACAGAGCGGTAAGTGAAAACGAACCAAATGTGATGATGACGATAGTAAGCATGCTGTACTATTTGTATGTCCACCTGGCACCGTGCCCTCCTGGAATAATCGCTTGCCAACATGGGACACTCAGACACCATGTACTGTCTTATAGAACTCGGCGTCCGTGAATGCTCCTCTATGTCTTTCGAATTCCATGTTAAACCAAGGAAAGGTGAGGGCCATGACAATGCTGATACGGTCTCGCGCCATCGCCGGCGGTCTGAAAAATTAAGTTCATATGACGCCTGAACGTGTTAAGCTCTCGACTGGCCCTGCGTTTCCAGGAACTGAATCGCGACGCTAATGCTACGTATCCCACCTAGAAACGCAGGCTTGTGGTTTGATTTATTTACAACGCCGGCTTCGTCTCTCTCAGCCGTCGCCACGGAGAGTCAACCTCCCTCCTTGCCCCTGCCCGCTGACACTCAAACCACTGTGCTGGACTCTGCCATGGCCAGTCAACAACGTGCTCTCCTCCAAGGAGATCGTCTGGCGAAAGAGCTTGCGGCACAGCAAGCAAGGGCGGCTGCCAGGGCGTACGTGACCGATAAAGGTAGGCGCCTCTGGAATATTGGGATTTTATGTAACATAGTACGTGCCTCCCTCCCTTATCCACACGTTAAACGCGCAGCAACGTGTTCCGCATGGAGTTAGTACCTATACCACTTGATTTCTTTGCCCCAGTCTCCTTTTCAAAACCTGCGCGGCAGAGGAGATCTTGAAAAAGTCTGATCTTCCTCACTCCCCATGTATAATTCGTCCTTTGCTTCAAAAGGGTGCATGAACGTCTCTGTCACTGAGAGGGTCCTCAATAGAGGCACCTACTCCGGCGCTGAGGCGGAAGAATTGGCCATCGCTGCCGGAGGGGGCCTGTCAGTGCACAAGGACAACACACTCGAAATCCTTCGGGAGCGAGAGCTTGGGAGGCAGAGGCAAGCAAAAGACGCGCAGAAGGAGGCAAATTTAAAAGCAAAACTTCTCCAGCAACAAGAGAATTTTCGGAAAGAAAAAGCGACGGGCAAGGGGGACGTGGAAGGCCAAGGGAGCGTGGAGAGAGACTCGACTCCCCTCCCCGCAGGGTGGGAAGCCGTCATGGACCCTCAGGGCTCCGGCGACTACTATTACTGGCACGCGGGTACGAATGTGACCACGTGGGAACGCCCTTCCTCCCAAATTCCGACGGCTGTACCGTCAGGGGACACGGGTGTTCCGACTCTGAAAAACCACAATCCGGGTAGCTTTCTTTCCTCGGAAACTTCAGGAGGCGGGGAACCAGGACACGGGAGAGAACCGACCGGGCGGGGAGGCACCGAACTTCCCCGGGCAAATGACCTTGGGAGCTTGCCAGAGGGGTGGAAGGAGGTCAAGCACGCAGCGACGGGACAGATCTGTTATGTCCACGCGGCTAGCGGGGTGAAACGCTGGTCCCGTCCAACAATTGCAGGCGACGTGACGTCTGACATACAGCAAACTCGACAAGCCCATCTGGAAGCCGCTCGGCAGGCAGAGCTGGCGCAAACGGGGGCAAAGGGAGGAAAAGATGGGGGAGGGAAGAAGAGGGGACGGGAGGAAATCGACCCGTTGGATCCCACTGGAGGGAGAGGAAGTGGCGGGTGGACCCAAGGATTGGGCGGTGGGGATAGAATGGCCGATAGCACCGCTGGCGGCAGTCTATGGCAACAACGACCTTTGCCAGCACCAGGAGCAGTGTTGAAAAAGCAAGGAGGCGGTAGGGGGGCAGGACGAGGAAACCAGGGCCAATATCCCATGCGGCGGTGAGAAAAGCGCATGGTGAGGACTGAAAATCTGTTCACACATCCGAGGGGCTAGTAAGATGAAGAGGGAAGGATTATCTGTGCGTCAGAATGATTTGAAGGCAGTGTATAATGAGAAAAAATGGCACGAATAACAATTTTGGTAGGGTAAAAGGAAAAGTTGAACCGCATAATTTTCATATGCCTCAGCACATTGTTTGATAACTTTTCGCAGACACCTCTTTGCGATGGTACCTGTGTCGAAACTGCTATCGCGGTTCCAACAACTATAGAGGAAGAGTCTGTGGATGAAAATATCAAAGCTGTTTACAAAGTCTGAAGCTAAAAGATTTCGCCTACTTCTTGACCACCAAAGTCATGGCACGACGTGCATGGTAGATGTATGGGTCAACCATCTTAAATTCATCTTTCCCTTCCTGATTTCGGTCTGTCTGTACTTCACTCGAGTATCACTAACACACTGGCATTTTACCCGTTCACATTTTATTTGCTCGGACGGGAGCGCGAGACTGACCACCTGATTCGGATATGTCATCATGCTACCAACTTTGTCAAATAACTGTTCCTTCAATCCATCCTGTCCGGCGATGGTAGGCGATATTTTTAATGTTCTTTTTGCGTTGTCCGAACGCACTTTTGAAAAGCTACTATCGAAACGCTCCTCCAGATGCGACAAAGCGATACTTTTGGCTGCCGTCGATGTGTTATTGCACAAATCTTCGTTCTGATAACATTCTAGACCGATGTAATAGCCACACGGACAGCGTGTAGTCGGCTTTAAATATTTTTGGGGTTTAAGGGTGCGGGAACGTTTTGTTGGCGCTTGCCACTTTCCGTTTTTCCGTCCGCCCGTGGTCTCTCGCCGACACAAAATGTGACACGAAGCATTCTGTTCCCCCTTGAAAATGAGGACACGCCTTGCACTGAAGCTGTGAGCCATCGCAGAGCAGTGACATCTGAGAAGTTTGGTGCGCAAACGGGGGCTTGTGTCTGAAAAATAAGGCCCTTAGAAGTCTCCTTCTTCAGCTTGAAGGACGGCATCGGCCGTCGCTTGTAGGCTAGCGGAATGTCCCTATCGCCCTGTCTATGGCACCAGCTCAAGTACCGTTTCCTTTCTCCCTGGTCAGACAAACAGCGCTTCAGTTACAGGATGAGAACATCCTTACTCGTAGGTGCACTTGGTGCAGCGATACTTTCCCTTCTATCCCTCTCCCTGTCCGCTGCCATGAACCTTGAAACATCTGCGGCGTCCCTTGGCGGGTATCAACGCCAAATTTATCAATATTTTGACAACGTACGACAAGGCGACCGTGGGCAATATGGTGAGTTTAAAACGAAATTTCGAATCAAGAATGGTGGACACGACCACACGGCGGGTGGCATATGCAAAAGCTTCGACCGGTGGAGCGTTGTGTGTCTTGTCGAACTCATTCCCACTCTTATGCCCCTTTGCTTCTCGCAGGAGCTGCCAATGGTGCTCGTGCATGCGAACGCTTTGTGCGTGACAAGGCAATGCAGACTGATTTGGCGGAGGTGAGTCGAACAGAAGTATAAGTTGCCTGTGTAAGTTTTGTGTCGATCCGCCCAGGGCCAGCGAGTAAGATGATTTAAAAGGTCAATTTAGAGGATTTTGGAGGGTGAAGGCTGATAGCCCACCGCCAATGTGCGGTGTCGCGTTGGAGAGCTTTTGATGTGCTGAATATTCTTGCGCCAATAAACACAGGTTATCTCTGGGTTTTACAACAACGACGTCGCCGCCATGTTTGCCTAGCAACGGACCGAAAAATTAAAAAAGATGATGGATGATGGATGGCGGCGAGATTGAGAAAGCAGGAAATCGCGAGCATTGGTCCGCACAACACACCACTGCTTCTGTGACCGAATCGAGTCAGGAAGGTCTGAGCAAGCGGAGCAAGAATTTTCCCTTCCAAATTTTTCTTTAAGAACTTTGGAGTGATTTGTACAACCTCAGCGGAAGCATTACGCAAGGGCATTTCATCATGAAATGTCTCGCTACTACACAAAAAACAAGGGCAAGCACATGAACAACAAACAAAACGGAGATATACTCTGGAAAAGAGACCAAAACCCGTGACGGATGAGAATCAAAATCAATGCAATGAAAAAACGCAGGAGTCGGTGCTGGTACTACTTGGTGACATCATCTCATACGGTGCAGCGAACAAGGCGTGAAAAAAATAGCATATTTGCAGGAAATAGGTGAATTTGTCCATCCATGCAGCTGATCTCTCCTTAGCAAAATTAGGTACATTCTTCTAGTCTAAAATTTATGAATCGGAAATGGTGACGTGTATAACTCTTCGCAGAAGTCTGCTTGTGTATTTAGAGGAAAGAAAGGTTCGGATGGAAGGAGTGAGACGCCTGAACTAGAAAAATCAAACTTAACGGAAACTCATACAGTTGTCGAATAGCACTTCGTTCCCTTCTTTCACATTGAAATGATATTACATGGAGATGCCACGGAATCGATATGGCGCGTATGCCGTTACCGAACCTTCGGTCCCACGACCTTGCCACGACCCATCCTCAAATGAATCTATATACTTTTTCATTCTTTCCACATCATCCCGGCATGAAATATTCTTATGTTCTTCACATTGAGGCTACGCGTAGAGGACTAAAGGACATCTCATT